AAATATCAAGTGATGAGCGCAAAACTTTCATACAATTTTCCTCAATAAATTAATTGTTTACAAATCATTTCCTACTAATTTTTCTTATGATTTCCGGTTAATTCAGAATATCTATTTACCCTTTTCTTCCCATAACATATTCATAATGAGTAAATATTATTTTTTATTGTAAGAATATAAAATAATCCACAATCTTAACATTTTAATTAGTTTTCAAAATTTGAAAGGGACAGTTTCAGCAAGAAACAAAACAAAAAATTTGAATTTCAAATTCGCCGCTATTCAATGAAAGAAACTTGAATAGTAAGTGATATGAAAGAATTTTTAGTGTTTGAAATAAGATTAATTTCTGTGCGAAAGCCGGTGTGAGCTTGACCAAATGAAAGGAATTGAAAACTCACTACCAAACATAGACAAGTTTGAAAATAAAACAAAACTGATCGTGTTCAACTGTCAATGTTTGTTTTTACAAAAAAAATACAAGTATGAGTTATGTTTTTTTTATTTGAAATATGATTCTGGTCTGAACATAAGTGAAGATATGCGTAGATTTCATCTCAATCCAGTTAACTAGATAAATTCATTCTGTTTAACATAGGGTATACAATTCAAGGTGTACTCACGAGGGATTAAACGCATGAGGAAATTTTCAGAGTCCTGGTGAGAAGACGTGACCAGTGGAGTTCAATCTTGTCGGGTGTAGGAGGTAACTATTGAAGATAATGGGTGAGATTACATACCGGCTCATTAGTCTAGAGTTTAGGCGTTCGCACGCAAGACCGAATGTCTTGAATTCGAAACCTATGAATAGCAGTAATCTTAGATACGCAATGCTGATGAATTCCATACCAGGACAAAACGACAGTCCTTCAGGTCTTTCAGGTATCGAAAGATGATCTAACAATGACATTCAGCCAATGTGTAAAAACAACGATTTGCATATTATTTTATTGCGAAATAATTCAGATGCGTTTAACGGACCTTTTTTCTAAATAACGAAGTCTAAAAATAAAATCCTAATAAATATGATACCCTTACCCCGACTGTAGCAGCTACCTTGATGTGGTGTTCGAGCTTTCCTATCGTGATGACTCAGTTGAGCTGTGTTGGCTGGAACATATGTTCCTGAAGGCCGTGCCTGACCGGCTTCAAGCAGTTATCCTTTGGACTCTCCCAATTAAGGAGCAGAACATATAGAAACCTAAAAACCTCAGGAAACGTTTCATCCAACCAACAATGAAGAAAACTGTCATAGAAACAACTTAAAAATTCTCAATCACAAGCCACAATTCTGATTGCATAGTTAGTTATACCGCCAGTATATTTCATGTGATTCTCAAACTGTCCATATGCTCAAATGCATGAGTAACTCTATACATAACCTCATTTTTTTGCCAGTACATAAAGAGAAATTCACAATTTTTTTTGTGTATTCATTTAACAGACTTATCATGTCGGTGGTATATTAGAAGAAATTAACTGAATTCACTTCACATATATGTATATATATTTATCAATCTCTCGAGACAGAATGAAATAACTGTATATATATATATATATATATATATATATATATATATATATATATATATATATATATATATATATATATTAGTCTATTGTTGAAGATACTACTTTCAGACAATATAAATAGCATAAAAACACGATAACTGAATAAGTTACGAATAATGGAAATATAATGTAATATGTTACTGTGCGTCTGTGTGTGTGTGCGTGTGCGTTCCCTTTCTTCTCCCAACCTCAATAATAACCACTTTGGTGAATAGGTACTTTTACTTCGTGTTCTCTCTTTCTCTTTCTTAGAAAAAAGAAAAAACCATTGATCATATGACAGTTCGAATGGCATCATGTGAGTTAAAACTCATCATAGATTTTTTTATTTTATAAATTTTGAGAAAATCTAATGTCTTGACATTTGTTTGGAGGAGATTGTAGATTGGAATTTCTAAGAACAAACTGGAATTTCGACTTTTATCGATACCTTGAATGAATGTGTGAGTAATTACAAATGAAAGTTAAACAAGATTGGCGAGAGTCTGGGCTGTCCACTCTCTCTATTCTTGTCTAAGTTTGTCGTGGACATTCGTTATCCTCGTTAGATTTTTCAGGGGTGGACCATCTGCCAGGAGGGTCGCTTATTGACCTCGAATGTGCCGATGACATAGTCCTATTCGGTGAAGACGCTGACATACTGCAGAGTCTTCTGACTACCCCAAGCAACAATGCAAGCATGTTCGGGATTCGGTTCTCATCCTTGAAATGCAAAATGTTGCTTCAAGACTGACTTGCATCGGCATCTGAACTAGTGATAGGGAGTGAAGTAGTCGAGCATGTCGACCGCTTCACTCATCTCGGGAGTTCCATCAGCGCTGATGGCCAGATGACTGACGAAATTTCAACACGGAGTGATCACAAATGAAAGTTTAGGAATGATTTTTGAGGATTGAAGTCGAATTCCTGTTTTCCGCCATACGAAGTCATCAATAAGCTCACAATGATAGATTTTATTGAAAACAACAGTTTCTTTGAAAGTCGAATAACTGTTATGTAATCGGCTATTCACAAATCCCTGACAGATCAACTATATCATAAAAACTTTAAACAGTTGGATGGTAGAATTGTGGTGGTGTTTCGTTCTCTCAGCTGAATATTTTCGTTTTGCCGTTTTCATTGTTTTTCTTCTGAACAACATCATCAATACAAACTTCGGATAGAATTGAAGTATCCGAATTTTCCCCACCATCTCAAAATCATATGAGCGTGACATGTATTGTAGACTAAAAAGATACAGAGAATGAGGAAGGTACATTAGTTTTATATTTTAATGTAAACTTAAGTGATATTGTGTCAACCCAAAACAAAATAAAGAGAGAAATTTCAAGATTTATGAACGATTTGAAATTGAAAAAAAAACAGGAATAAGGAATTTTTCAAAGCTGATTATTTGATCCATTTTCTTCTACTACAAGTCACGATCATATAATCGTAAATTTTTAATCAGAAAATTTACCGAATCTGTACAACGCAAAACCTTCATAACTATACATGAAATTTCACACTGACAATGAGAATGAAGCATTTCGGGACAGTTAATAACAATGGACAGAAGTTTATAAACTAGAGCTGTCTAAATAGACTAATAGTGACGACATTTCCAACTGTGAAATCCAGTTCGCACATGTCTGAATCACACAGAAAGTATCAGTCCCGTCGATAAACTAACACACCTTGTTGATGACTACCAACTAGCATGCTGTGTAGGTCCTTCACTCCTTGTTGACTGCGTTAAACCACCGATATCATGACAAAAAACCCTCCGTGATGTTATAGAGAATTAGACATATTTTGAAAAGACCGCAAAAATTTGAGCAGTTTTTAAAATATAACATTATATACTACTTACTAAGTAGTTGATAAATGCTTCATGACGAATTTACATAAATATTCCTACTTTCTTACAATTTTCTTGTCAAATTTAAAGGTTTCTTCTCATGATTTCATCGTTTTAAAAATCAGCCAAGGACTTTGAAAACTAAAAATGAGTTATGTGATTAGTGAAATAATAAAGACGCATGTCACCCACAATGGAGAGTAGGCAGCTGTACAGCAGTCTACAACCAACATGATCCTGAGATTTCCTTAACAGTTCTTTCCAGCCACTATTCATTCATTTCATTTCTGTCTCCGATTCCCAAGGAAATGCGTTCTTTGGTCTTGCCGATTCCAAATAACAGCTTGTCTTGAGGCGCAGTTGGGCGTTTTCTTCAATATGTGCCTTATCCAATCCTTTAGTGTCTTCCAAATTTCCTACTCGGCTGGAATCTGGTTTGTTCTCTTCCACAGTAAGTTGTCGTAGTTGATAGTGTCTATCCAACGGATCCGCAGTACCTCATGTTGACAATTATTCATAAACAACTGTACTGCTCCGGATAATGGAGCAAATATTTCGACATGTGTACTGAAAATGCTAACTTTGGTGTTGGTCGGCAGTCGTTTTGAGGTACAGATGTGCTTCAATTGTAGAAATAGTAACCATGTTTTGCGAATCCGTGCATTCACATCTGCCTCCGATACACCTTGTATTATCGATATTGCTGTATAGTCATTATATAATTTTGTCCACTTCTTACGATGCTTTTCCGTCAAGTTTGATTTGGTTAGTGCATGTTTTGTTGTATCGGAGAATCTTTCTTCTACCCTAGTGTATTTTGAGACTTAATGCTGCAGATGCTATTGCTGTACTGGTTATCTTCTCCTGCATTTGTTGTTGCGTGTTGGATAGAAGGGGTCAATCATCCGCGAATTCCAAATCTTCCAGCCGCATCAAATCTTTTCCCAGTATTCCATGTTTCCCTCCGGACGTTGACGTCTTCTTCCATCGTCCTTCTGAACTTTTAATTGATATAGAT